AGGCAAACCCTAGGATAAAAAGCAAAAAGGCTCAGGAGGAGGGGGTCAACACCGCCGTCTCCTCCTCCTGATGCTGCTCCTCCTCATGCCCCGCCTCGCCGCCGAACACGGCGGCCTCGGCCTCGGACACGAAGTGGGGCAGGGAGTGGGCGTCCAGCCCGTACTTGCCCAGCAGCTGACCTCGGGTGAGACCTGCATTCCACGGAGACCCCCTGGGGAACACACACCTGGAAGAAGCAAAAACTGGAGCCCGAGGACGACCCAGGATCGCCCGAGCGAGGTCCAAGAGGTCCGAAGGCGCAGGGCGCTCAAGCTCTCCGAGGCTCCACCCACTATACCGAGTGAGCCACCTGGGGAAGAGCCTCGAGCAAATCCGGGTCCTCTGCTGCCCGAGCCCCTTGCCAGCCGCGTGCCCGTGGCAGCGACTGGCAAGTTCCTTGACCCTCCCCCACGCGTAAGCACCACACGACACATAACAAATCATCCTCGGGGCGGTCAGGACAGAGGCACCCTCGGCATCAAAGACCTTGCAAACACGAAGGCTGTGCTCAGCCAGCTGCACCAGTATGGCGAGCTCAGGATCGGAGGGCCCCTCCGCCACAGCTGAGAGCACGGCCCGCTAGGCTCTGCCTAGAGGGCTCTTACTCTCTTAGCTTAAAGGGGCCGGGCAGTGCAAAGCGCCCAGAGGCGGAACATGGCGAAAAACCTCCCGCCGTGATTCTTTCATGGCTCGAGGAGGTCTGGCGACCGAGCCGGCCCGGCGGCGGAGCGCCCTCTTCGCCCCGAGGCCCAGGGGGGCGCGGCTCAAGAGGAGGAGGAGGAGGAGGGGGAGGAGGAGGAGGAGGAGGAGGATGATGAGGAGGAGGAGGAGGAGGAGGAGGAGGAGGAGGAGGAGGAGGAGGCGGCAAATGGCGAAAAACCTCCCGCCGTGATTTTTTTTTCATGGCTCGAGGAGGTCTGGGGACCGAGCCGGCCCGGCGGCGGAGCGCCCTCGTCGCCCCGAGGCCCAGGGAGGCGCGCGGCCCGAACGCCGCGGCGGCCGCGGCGAGAGGAGCAAAGAGGAGCAGCCGGAGGAGGGCCGCGCGGCGAGAGCCACGGGCGGCGGACCCCCGAGAGGGAGGGAGGGAGGGAGGGAGGGAGGGAGGGAGGGAGGGAGGGGGGGAGGGAGGGAGGGAGGGAGGGGGGGAGGGAGGGAGGGACGGAGGGGAGGGAGGGAGGAGGGCGGGAGGGAGGGAGGGAGGGAAGGAGGGAGGGAGGGAGGGAGGGGAGGGGGGGAGGGCCTGAAGGGCCCCGCTGCCGGGCCGGATGGCGTCGTGGAGGTCGGCGGCCCAGCGCGCCGCTGGCGGAGGTCCCGGGGCGGCTCGCGGGGTGCTTCGCAGTGGGGCGGGAGCTGGCAGAGGCGGTGCTCAGGCAGGCTGCTCCAGATTTCGTAATCAAAGGGAGGGGGTCTGGACCCTCCAAGACAAGCCATTTCAGACCTCCCCCGTGGGAGAACCCTCCAAAACATCGTCCCCAGACCCCCCAGGCCCTCCAAGATAGCCTGGAAGAGACCCCCCCCGAAATGAGACCCCCCCTCCCTTTATTACGAAATCTGGAGTGCAGTCGGGGCCTTGACCTAAGGAACCCTAAATAAGGAGCGAGGCCCCTTTTTTCCCATAGGTTAACCTTCGATTCCCAGTCGAAAGCAGAAGGGAAACCTGAGGCAAGCGGCGAGACACTTGAGGAACGCGGAGCCCCTCCCCCAACGAGAAGGGTTCCTTCTTCGGGGCCCCGACTGTAGTGCGCGCGAGCAGCAGATCGCCGCTGAGGCACAGGCCGCGGAGGCCGTCGAGGCCGAGCGCAGGGCGGCGGCTGCGCCAGGCCGGGGGCGAGGGCCCATGGCCAGCGCCGGCGACGGCAGTCCGAGCGGAGCCGATGCTCGAGCGGAGCGCCAGAAGGCGGGCGACGACTGCATGCGCGAGGAGGAGCTCAACGCCGCCGACCAGCACGTTTTCCTCAAGAAGGCTGGGCACGCGCCTGCCACTGATGAAGGGGCCGAGCGGTCTCCTAATGATGTGACACGTGCTGCTGGCCAGCGCCTCTTCGACGACCTCGGCGCGTCGCCTCCGAAGAAGCAGCCGGCGAGGGCCTGGTGGCAGCGCGGGCTCGATGGCGGGCGCCCGCGATGACGACTACGGAGGGCCGTTCTGCAGCGAGTCGTACGGCGCCGAGGAGCAGGCTGCCTCCGACAGGGGGCACGGCTTCGACATTTGGGCGGACAACCTCACGGGTGCTGCCTTGGTGGACCTCCCTGCTGGCGGCTGGGAGGGGGGCCAGGCCCACTCGGGGCTGACGGGGGTGTTCGGCCATCAAGGGTACGGTCCCAGGATGTCAGATCAGGTTGGCCTCGCAGGGGATCCTGAGGGGCAACCATGGGTGTCGGCCCCAGGGCGCGGCCCGTCGCGTCCTGCTGGAGGGCCAGTCGCTGACGGAGCTGCAGCTGATCACTGGGAAAATGATGGAGGTAGCCAGTCCCCATGGGGGGTGGGCGGGCGCGTTCGGCTTTCAAGGGCACGGCCCCAGGATGTCAGACGGCACGGACCCCGCGGGGCCTGCCAAGGTGACGGCCTCAGGGCACGGCCCATGGCGACCAACCGACGGGCCAAACGCTGAAGAGGCTGCTGCTGATTTTTGGGAGCAGGGATGGGCGTTGCCAGGCCCCACCGGGGGTGGCGGGTGCGTTCGGCTTTCGTGGGTGCGGCCCCAGGATGTCAGAAGGCAGAGACCCTGCGGGGCCTGCCAGGGTGGCGGCCTCAAGGCACGGCCCAGAGACTGGGGCAGAGGGATTCGGCCCCTCGATATCACAGACCCCGCCTCGCACGTCGTGCGAGCACGACCTGCGCGTCGCCGCAGGAGCAGCAGCAGCGGCAGCAGCAGCAGCAGCAGCAGGCGCAGCAGGCGCAGCGACTGCAGCAGCAGCTGGCGGCAGCCCAGAGGCCGCGGCCACCCGGCGCGACAGAGGGGCCACGAGCGCCAGGGAAAGGAAGTCGGTGGGGAAGCTGGGCCACCGCTGCCGCCTCACCACGAACAACGCCACCTCCTGGGGCCCGCCGGGTGACTACCTCACCCTCATCGACGGCCGCGAGACGTTGGCGGTGGCAGTCCAGGAGCACCATCGGTTGGAGGCCGCCCTGGCGACGCAGCAGCGGGCATCCAAGGATGCAGGGTGGCACGGTCTGCGGAGTGCGGCGATTGCCTCGGCAGCGACGGCCAAGGGCACACAAGGTGGCGTTGCGGTGTTGGCGCCGCTCCATGTGCAGATCACCGCGACCCCAACCAGAACCGACGCTGAGTTGATTCCAGGCCGACTCCTGGCTGCCCATGTCCGAGCTGGGCCCCCAGGAGGAGTGGCCGTCATCAGCGTGTACCTGCATGACAGAGAGGGCCTCTGCGCTGACAACCTCGCCACCGTCTGGCATCTGGTGCAGTTCCTCGGGGACTTGGAGGCGGCTGGGTACCACTGGGTCGCGATGGGGGACTGGAACATGGAAGCCGAGACCCCCCTCGATGTCGGCTGGGTGGCGAGGCTCAACGAGGCCGCGGTGCAGCCGCCAGGGCATGCCTGCAGGCAAGGCTCGGGGTCCACCCTGGACTACTTCGTGGTGTCCAAGCGCCTCTGGGATGTCGCTACCCTCCAGGCTGAGCTAGACCCCGAGGCCAGCACGTGGCCGCACTGTCCAATACATCTCCATCTCCGGGCGCCTCCGGAGACGCGGAGGAGGGCCACCGTCGAGCCCCGCCCCGCCCCGAAGGAGGCGGCCAAGCCAGGGCGTGCACGAGCGCCGTGGAGGTGGAGCGAGGTGCTGGCCAACGTGCGCGCCACCTCGGACCAGGAGGGCTTGCGGATCATCTTGGATTTGCAGCTCGAAGGCATCGAGACGGATATCCTCAACCGTCGGGGCCTAGCCGGAGCGGGCAGGTCTACCTTTGCTGGCCGTGGCGCGGGGGGAGATGTGGCCACGTGCTGGAAGAAGAACGTCTGGGCGCATCCGCACAAGCGACACGTCCGCGGCCCATGCAGTCAGGCATGCGCGGGCAGCTGCTGCCTGCCGCTTGGGCTCGGCACGCTATCGGAGCGCACGACCACATTGCCAAGGGGCCGTCTGCGCCTGGCCAGCAACCTGGGGCCAGGCCTCGCGCTTTCGCCATAGCTGAGTTGGTGGTCGGGCCAGGGCTTTCCTCCGCAACGTGCGTGCCAGCGGGCACTGGCATCGCCTTCCTGCCTGGGCATGGGCGCCGTTCCAGCGGGGGGGGGCCAGGTGTTTGGGGCCGCTGAGCGGAGGCGAGAGCTGCAGTGCATCATGGGCGACGGGGCCAAGCGGGAGAAGGCCAGCGCGGCAGCCGCCCAGGCCCGCTGGCGCGAGTGGGCGCGGGACGCCTTCACGGGGGGAGCAGCGGGCCCCGCCCGCGCGGTGTCCAAGTTGCCCGCCAGGCAGGAGGACCTCGCCTCGTGCACGGGCGACGGCTCCATGGCGCTGGTGGACCGCGAGCTGGAGCCGTGGGCGGCCGTCTGGAACTCTCACGGCCTCACGGGCATGGCCTGCCCTAAGGACTCGCACGCCTGGGAGCCCCTGCCTGCGCTGGAGGTACATGCCCGGCGCGATGTCACACGGTCGTTCCCGTGGAAGACTGGAGTTGGGCAGTCGGGAACCCCGCCCAGAGCCCTGGAGGACGCGTCTGACCATGGTCGCCGTGTTCCACAAGTGCGAGGAGCTGTTAGCGTGGCCAAGCAACATGCTGCTTAACGCCATGGTGCGGCTGGCCAAGCCCGACGGCGGCGCGCGCTTGATCGGCCTGGTGCCCACGCTGGTGCGGGTCTGGAGCAGGGCCAGGAGGCCAGTCACCAAGGCGAAGGAGCATGCCCACCCCTCGGCTCTAGTCTGGGACACGGGGCCAGGCAGGCTGCGCTGAAGGGGTGGGACTCTGCCCAGGTGGCGCTGGACCTTTGGAAGGCGTGAGAGATGGTGGTGCCCGAGGCGCAGATGAAGGAAGCGAAGGCCCTCCACTTCCCGCTGCGCCGCGCGTGGATGTTGCTCGCGTCATACAGGCAGCCGCGCAGCGTGGCGGCGTTCGGCGCGGTCTCGACGAGTGTGGTGGCCTGGCAGGGGAACATTGCTGGGCTCGGGCGCGCCAGCTCGCTGCTGCTGCTGCTGCTGACCCTGCGGGCCCTCCAGCGCGCCCGCGCCATTGCCCCGACGGTGACGCCGAGGGGGCTGGTCGACGACGTCACCCTCGACTGGCAGGGGCCCGAGGATGAGAGCGGCGGCGAGCTGGCGAAGGCGTTGGGCCACTTCACCGACAGCATGGAGAACCTGAAGCTGGCGCTGCAGCCCGAGAAGTCGGGCCACCTGGCCTCGTCGAGGCGCCGCGCCCGAATCCTGAGCCCACGCATGCAGTGGATCGGCCTGAAGGGGGAGCTGTGGGCGTGCAACCTGGGACACGAGCTACACAGCCGCAAGGTCTTGCGCACTCAGGAGAAGAGGAGGCTGGCCGCCACCTTGGCGAGGCAGCAAAGGTTGGCCATGATGCTGCGGCGAGCAGCGGGACGCCGAACTGCTGCCCTTATTGCCTCGGGGATCTCCCCCTTTCCGCGGGCCACGGCGCCGGGGTGGCTGGCTTGGCCGATCGGCCGCTGGCGCAGCTGCGCACGTTGGCTGCGGCCACTGCTGGTGCCAAAGCTGGCTGCGGCACGGCGGTGGTCATGGTGCTGCGGGACCGCGTTGACTACGACCCGATGTTCGCGGCCACGGTCCCGCTGGTGTCTCGCTTGGCGGCCTGGGTCTGGGGGGGCAGGGGGCTCGCTCTCCCACCTGCTGGCGGCGCGGCAGCAGCTTGCTCGGTTGGCCGAGCAGGGCAACCTCGTGTGGGCCACGGCCCAGGGGCCCCCTCGGCGCCACCCGATTGTCGCTGGAGCGCGTGAGCGGGGGCATGGCTTCGGATTGGGCACCGCGCGGCGATCGCAGGGAGCTCATCTCGCTGCTGAGGGTGCCGCCGCGGGGCGTCAAGGACTCCCTGGTGGAGGACATGCAGCGCTGGCAGCGCAGGCGCCTCGCCAGCCATCTCCCCGAGGGCCGAGGAGAAGCCCCGTGGCCCAGAGCGGCGCGGGCCATCGCCGCCAGGATGCGATCGGCCGCCGAGAAGGGTGCCCTGCGGGCCTTGAGGGCAGGGGGGCACGACACCAATGTCTGGCAGCGTGCGCATGGCTTCCTGGACCAGGAGGCCTGCCTAGCATGCGGAGCCCAGCGAGACGCGCCCATGCATCGCCAGCGCGAGCGCCCCGCAACGATGCAGCCCCGCGACGAGGAGCTCGAGCTGGAAGAGCCCCTCCACAAGCCGCTGCAGACGGTGAGGAGGCAGCTGGAGGAGGCCGAGAGGCTGTGGACCACCGGCGACAGCGAGTTGCCCCCGGCCCACGGCCTCCCTCTTGCGCCGACATCCCCAGCTGCGGCGCCCGACCAGGCGGGGGCCCTCAACTGGGGGGGCGCCGTCAGTGCCACGGCCACGCGTCGGCTACTATGACGGGTCAGGGCTCGGGCCAAAGGTGCACGAGGCGCGCCGCCGCGGCTGGGCAACGGTCGCGCTGCGCCCCGACGGCCCCCCCCTGCAGGCGCAGTGCGGCGCCCTGCCTGGGGCTCCTCAGACGGTGGGCCGCGCGGAGGGGCACGCCTGCCTCAGCCCGCGGCAGCAAAAGGGGGACCGCCGGCCCATCGCGAGCGACTTGTCGGCCCTGGTCAAGGAAGGGAGCGAGAGGGGGGCGTCGCTGCCGCCGGCGCTGCGGCACGGCATGCAGGTCTCTGGCGCCAACCTCACCAGGCGGTGAGCCAGTCGGGGAGGCCGCCGCCTGCCTTCCGCCGGGTGCCCGCGCGTCGCTCCCTCTGGAGGCGGCCATCGACCAGGAACTCCACTCGATGGGCCGGCTGGGGAACTGCCGGGCCGACTTCTTCGCGGGGCGGGGGGCGCGGTGAGTGAAGCTGGCCGACGCCGCCGTCGAGGGCCTGCACGCGGAGCTGATGCGGGCGGTGGACACGGCGGCCCACGCGGGCCGGGCAGCGGCACGCAGCTGCCAACTGGACCTGTGGAGGCCCCATCGACGAGCACGGCCGCCTGCGCCGTCGGGTCGAGCAGCCTCGGTTCGTCCCGATGCACGACTGCCCAGACGTGCGGAGTGCGCGAGGCCCAGCGCGCGCGCGCGCGCTGCGGCCGCGGTGCGCGCGCGGCCAAGGCCAAAGAGCTGCTGGATCGTCGGCCGCGACAGCCGACCGCGCTGGGCAGGCCACGCGCCGCGGGATCGGCCAGCGTGCACGGCGCACAGGCCGTGGCCAACTCAGCGGCGGCAGCGGAGGGCCTCCGGGCTGCAGAGCTGCACGAGCCGCAGGCCGCGAGGGCAGCCAGTGCGGAGCTCCCTGCAGAAGCCGCGCTGCCTGGGCAGGGGCATCCTGCGGCTGGCGGGCGACTTTTGTCATTCGACGCGAAGGTGCAGTACATGCTTGGGGCAGCGAGCGGGCCGCCCCCTGGGTCAGGCTCGACGGGGGGCTCGGGCGAAGCTGCCGACGCCAACTGCTCCCATCCAGCGTGCGCTCGATGGGGCCGCCCAGGACGGAGGCAGTGCCGCTGAGGAGGCGGCTTCGGAGGCGGTGGCGAGGCGCGGCAACCACGCCCCCAGGGGGCAGCGGGGCATCGAGGAGCCAAACCACGGCTCAACGCAGCGAGCGCCGTGGGGGGCGAGGGAGGACGAGGGCTCCCAGATACCCCAGAGGGAGCGGCGGGGGAGGGGTGAGGCAGGACGGCCGCCGCCCGAGACCCTGGGCCAGCCTGCCCTTAGCGAGGCAGATCCCGACCGCCCCCGCAGCACTCGAGGAGGAGGAGGAGGAGGAGGAGGAGGAGGAGGAGGAGGAGGGGGAGGAGGAGGAGGTGGCAGCTGCGGCCAGGGGGCCGAGGTCACCGCCAGGAGGGCCCGCGGCGGCCCCGAGGCACTGGGCGCAGCCCCGTCGAAGGAGCCCAGGGCGAGCGCGGGGCGCGCCCGCGGGCTCCCCACTGCGAAGAACAGCACGGCGAGCCCCGCGGGCGGAGCAGAAGGGAGCCCAGCTGAAGGAGCAGCAGAGGACCGTGGGCCTGCACTGGATGCAGCTCCGTCGAAGGAGCCCAGGGCGCGCGCGGGGGGGGGGCGAGCCTGCAGGCCCCCCCGCTGCGAGGAGCAACGCGGCGAGCCCCGCGGGCGGATCAGAGGGGAGCACAGCTGAATGAGTAGCGAGGTGGGGGCAGGGAATGGCGGCGCGCGACTGCGCGAGGCCTCTGCACGGGGGCCAGTTCATGATCGAGGGGCTGAAGGTCCACGCGTGAGTCCCCCCTCGCCGTGCCTCGTAAGCAGCGGGCTGGCGATGGGTTGCGCCGCGGACCCGTGAGTCCTGGAGGCAGGCCGCGACTTTGAGCCGATCCGCCAGCGGCTGGTGCAGTTTGCGGGGTGGCACCTCCTGGGTGCAGATGAGACGTGGCTCGAGTGCCAGAGGTGCGCGGTGCAGGTGCTTCGCGGAGCGGCCTATGCGGCCTACTTCGAGCGGCTCGCGGACGAGGCCGCGGAGCGCGAGCTTGGACGGAGAGCAGCTGAGGAGCGCCTGCCGGCGTGGCGTCTGGGCGCCCAGCGGCGCAAGGCCAGCTGGGCCAGCCTGCAGAGGCTACAAGGGGGAGGCCTACAGCAAGCTCGCCCGCCTGCAGAAGCACGAGCGCATCGCGAGGACGTGCATCGGCGGCCTGGACCGCGGCAGCTGGCCAGACGACGAGGAGCCACACTGCTTGGCCCTCCTGGCGGCGCTGGGCAGGGACAGGTCAAGGTCTCCCAGGCGCGGCGCAACGGGGGTGGCGGCCGCGGGCCAGCAGGTGGCAGAGGAGCAGGACGAGGCGCTGCCGTCGGACGCCGAGGAAGAGCGGGAGGGCAGGCCGCCCGCCTTCGGGTCCAACTGCAGTACTGAGCGTGACGGCGAGGACGCCCCGCGAAGTGCGACACCCGATGGGCGCTGGCACAGCGGCAGCACGGCCTCCTCCAGCGAGGGCCCCACGGGCGACTGCTGCAGCTTGCCAAGCTCGTCCGACAGCAGCGAGCAGGGAGGAGGCAGGCGCCGCGCGCGGCCAGGGCTGGCAAATGCTCGCGAGCAGCGCGCCGGGCAGCACAGGAGGGCGCCTGCCGATGAGGGCGCCGACGCCACCGAGCTGGAGATGCTGCAGAACGAGATCGCGGGTGGCAGTGCGGGTGCCGCGCCCAGCGGCACAGCGAGGGCGCCGGACCCGCTGCCCGCGGAGGCCGCCCTGGCCGCAGTGGCCGCACTGGCGGCAGCGGCACGCCCTGGAGCCGAGGGCGAGGCCCATGCGGCGGGCCCCCCCTGCCCTGGCGGCCGCTCCAGGAGCCCGCCCAGCCCAGGGGCCAGGGGCCGTGCTGCCGCGGCGCAGCGGCGGGCTGCTGGGGCGCAGCAGCGCGACGATGACCGGCAGGAGCGGCAGCTGGGCCACGAGCTGCAGTTGGCAGGGCCGCACAGCCTCTGCCGACGCTGCGCGGCCTTCGCCAAGCTGGACGGGCCTGCCCGGGCCAAGGGCTGGAAGGAGGCGCGCCGCGAGCCCCTGCCGCCGACTGCGGCCTGCACGGCAGGGCAGCGCGAGAAGCGGCAGCACCTGGCCGAGCTGCTGCGTGGCCTGGACCCCTGCACGGGGCGAGGGCTGGGCTGGTGGCCTGACCTCGGCCCTGGCGCCGGCTCCTGGGGCCGCTGCGGCGGCTGGCTGGAGGAGTGCTGGGGCCCGAGAGGGGCCAAGACCCCCCGCCCCGTCGAGGCAGGGGCGGGGGGCCCCGTGGTCTGAGGCGTCGGCTGCGGTCGTCGTCCGCTGCGGCGCTGGCGCGGGGCGCCGGCCTGCGGCACGGCCGGAGCGGGCCGCTGGCGGAGCTGGGCGCGGGAGGCGCCCGCACTCGGCCCCGAAGGGACGCGTGGCGTCGAGAGCCTGCACCCTCCGCGTCGCGCAAGCGGTGCGCAGAGAGAAAGGAAAAGAGAAAGAGAATGAGAAAGAGAAGAGACGGATAAAGAGTGGGAGAGATGGGGGCAGAGAGGCAGAGAGAGAGAGGGAGATCGGACAATCTGGGCGAAGTCCCGTCCACGGGCCGGCGGGCAAGCGCGCCGCACCCGAAACACTTTGGCTGGTGCTGTCGGCTAAAGGGGCCCTGCGCATCCGTCTTGGGCGGTCGGCCAGGGGAGGAGGGAGAGGGAGGGGCGAGGGGGACCGTGATGTGACACTGCCTCTTTGGCATGACGTTACCTCGCTGGTTGTGGCGGCATCCCTCAGGTAACCCATCAGGACCCGCAGTGGGGAGAGGGAGAGAGAGAGAGAGAGAACAACAAAAAATGAGAGAAAGAGAGAGAGAGAGAGGGAGGCAGAGAGACAGAGAGAGAGGGAGGCAGAGAGACAGAGAGAGAGAGAGGCAGAGAGAGAGAGAGAGGAGGAGGAGGAGTGTGGAGGTGGAGAGGAGGAGGAGGAGGAGGAGGAGGAGGAGGGAGGAGGAGGAGGAGGCGGAGGAGGAGAAGAGGAGGAGGAGGAGGAGGAGGAGGAGGAGGAGGAGGAGGAGGAGGAGTAGGAGGAGGAGGAAGAGGAGGAGGAGGAGGAGGAGGAGGAGGAGGAGGAGAAGGAGAGTCGAAAGAGGGATTGCGGAGGAGCGTTTCTTCGTCCTCGTCCTCGTCATCCCTCCCAAGCCAAGGCATAAAGCCAATCTCAAAGCAGGCACAACAGAAGTCGGGGCAGCGGTCCTTTCTTTCAGGTAGAGCGCTGGAGACCGCGCGGGCCCTCCGAAAACAGCATGCCTGATTTGGGGCCTTGCCCCTCCACATCTTGATTCAGGCAGGGTGGGATGGTGAACGAAACTGCGAGTCCAGATAACGAGAAGGTGTGCCAGGAGGCCAAGAGGCCAAGGTACGCAGGAGTGGTGATGACTAGAAGGAGGAACAGCATCAAGGAGGAGGAGGAGGAGGAGGAGGAGGAGGAGGAGGGGGAGGAGGAGGAGGAGGAGGAGGAGGAGGAGGAGGAGGAGGAGGAGGAGGAGAAGGCGGAGGAGGAGGAGGAGGGGGACGAGGGGGAGGAGGAGGCGTGATGGTGCTGCACGTGTGGCGACTCCGACCCCGACATTTGCTGCTTGCCAATGAAGCGGCATTGTTCGTTTACTGCACAGCCCCGTCCCGTTTCACGCACTTCTACTGGAGGGCCTCGGCGTAGGGGTGCTCATTGCGCGGGTGGCTCTTCCGCCCTCTGCATAATGACAGTGGTCATGAGGATGAGGACGCGGAGGATTTAGATGAGCACACGGGCGAGGAGTGAAGCCAGTAAAGAGGCGTAGGAAAGTGAAGAGGAAAGCAAGAAAGGGGAGATCTGCGAGGAACGAACTGGCATGAAGGGAAATCGTCGGGAAAACAATGTCCAGGCGCGTATACCGTGGTTATAAAAACTGCACGTGTTTGATATCGTACATGCTGTCCCACTTGAGCCCGCGACCCACTTCAATCCCTGATGTGGGGAACTCCAATGAACCAGTTGTCAGTCAAAGCGCTGGCTCACCCGAAAGGGAAGGGTTTGACTGACCCCCTCCTGCCCCTCCTGCCCATCCCTCCTCCTCCTCCTCCTCCTCCTCCTCCTCCTCCTCCTCCTCGTCCTCCTCTTCCTCCTCCTCCTCGTCCTCCCCCTACCAAAGAAGGAAAAGCAGGATAGGTACTCACTCCCCGCCGGCAGCGCTATGCCAGCAATTCGTCCAGTCACCTCGTGAGGCAT